GTGTGTGTGTGTGTGTATATATATATATATATATATATATAATAAAAATGATGTGTGTGTGTGTGTGTGTGTATTATTACATATGATGGTAAATGTAATGTGTAACATACTCTAGTTAATAGTTAGTTATATGTAATGTCATAATTTCTTGCATCATGGAAAGTTGTCTTATCATTTTTATTTAAGTATTATAAAGGTATGCATTTATCATTGAGTAATATTATTGTTGACAAACAAAAAGTGTGAAGTTTTTGACTAAATATATAATGTTATCCATTATATTGTGACTTGTAAGTGCAGCTTACATTCTCAGAATAATACCTAATGTGGCTTATGTAAACCTCCAAGTCACCCAGAATACCAGTACATTAGTTACTGCTTAGAATGACTTTTACAATATTAAAGTACAATTCACATCAACCTTTGAATTGCACATGTTGTCCATGTTAAAGATTAAAATATATGAACCTGACTTCTTTTGTATTATAGTAAAAGACTGTAATTATTGTGTCATTAAATATAAATAACTGACTCCAGTAAATTCAACATTTTCTAGGTTAAAAAGTTGTTGACACAAGTGGTGGTTGCCATGGCACACCATGGTTTCCTTGAACTACCCGGTGGACAGAGTATGATCGAGTTCATTGTGAGGCAGTGTTCATTTGTAGAGGAATCTAAGGTATGTCTTTTAATCATCAATCTTTGTATTACCCAACATCTCCCTGTTAGACTAATGTTAAAAGTAAGAATAGTGTTAGTTTCTATTGTAAATTATTATAAGCAAGACCACTATGTTGTCAGTGAATGATGTTTTAATAAACTTGCTGTTAACTTTTTTATTTACAAACATAGTTATTCTGATGAGTTGCTAGAATTATTTAAGGTACTGATAATGAGAAAAAAGTTAATTTATTTTTGAATGTGACCATCTTTCACAGAATTTTAAGTTCTTAATAAAAATGACAAAGGTTGAGATTATGAACAGTTTCCTTACCTCCTTAATTTTGCCACATCTTTCACGTGTTGCTGCAAGCTAAGCATGTGCTAATAAATTACTGTTATAGAATTAAATAAAACAAATCGGCAGATCTAGTAAGTGGAAATTTTCTTGTTTTTTTTTTTTCATTATTGTAAACACAAGACCTTATTTCAGCTTTTTTTTTATCAATATTGCTACTGCTTAACCCTTAGGATAAACGACCCCCAGATCCTGAATATGTCAGTAGAGAAGCTTTAAGGACCATGTGTGACAATGTGATGAACTTATTAACCACCACAGTGGATCAGATGGAAAAGGTAACTGTTACTTTTACTAAACTTTACGTATGTGATTTGTGGTTTAAGTATGAGACAAGCTGCAGAAGCTAGAATTAAATTGGTTGACTAAAGTTTTTGTCAAGTATTAGTCATTTTCTATTTTATTTGTGAGACCATTGTTTCCTTGTAGGCCTGGCATGGCCAGGTGGTTAGGGTGCTCGACTTGCAATCTGAGGGTTGCAAGTTCGAATCCCCGTCACACCAAACATGCTCGCCCTTTCAGCCATGGGGGCGTTACAATGTGACGGTCAATCCCACTATTCATTAGTAAAAGAGTAGCCCAAGAGTTGGCAATGGGTGGTGATGACTAGCTGCTTTCCCTCTAGTCTTACACTGCTAAATTAGGGACGGCTAGTGCAGATAGCCCTCGTGTAGCTTTGCACAAAATTCAAAACAAACATGTTTCCATGTCCTTCAGTCCTTGCAAGACTACTAAACACAACTACATTGTTTATTTTGTGTATTCCCGGTTAGGTTAACAAAACTTGTGATAAATTGAACATATCCAAAAAATTATATAGATTGAATTTTCACTAGTCAGTTAATTCATTAATTAACACTAATAGTGAAGTATAAATGAAACAAATTAAAACAACCTTTGTCTATAGGAAGAAGACAGAGCAGAGACTATATATTAAATTACTAGTTGTTTATTTTTTTTTTTTACTCTTTACTCTGATTAGGATATCTTATGTTTTTACTGTGTCATACAATTCCTGTGTCATACAATTCTTTCAAAGTTTTAATCTTATTATCTACGTGTCTGTTCAGGTTTCTCCATCTATATTAAAATAAAAGTTTTGTTGTTGTTCTACATGGTGCATCTCTTTAGCTTACTTTAAAATATATATATATATATATATATATATATATACTATTACTTATTTCTTGTTAATTAATTAACTTACTAACTAATTTTAGTTTAATTTTTTTTA